GTGGTGGTGATGGTGGTGATGGTAGTGGTGGTGGTGGTGATGGTAGTCGTGGTGGTAGTCGTGGTGGTGATGGTGGTGATGATGGTGATGGTAGTGGTGGTGATGGTGGTGAGAATGCCTTTGAAAAATCAGATGGTGGGACTCTTCATTCACACAGAGAGAAACACAGGCTTAGAAATGGAGACTGTTCCATTGTCTATCAAGTAGGAGCAACAGAAGCTACATAAAATGGGTTGTGGTAATGTGCTCAGAACCATGAATGGCCCACTCATGGAGAATGCTCAATAAACACTAACTATTCCCATCAGAGTTTCTGATCTTGGATCATGTAATTGGAATTCTTCTGATACAGCTCCCCAAGTATTTTAATCAGCAACATAAGGAGCAGAGCAGGTCCTGCTTGGCAAGCAAACACTGATCATTAAGCACTCATGGACTCTTTAAGACTGAAATCCCAGCATTCACCAGGTGTGACGTGGGCACATCACCTCTCTCAGTAACAGCATCTATCCGGTGGGTTGTGGCAACAATTACATATGGTAACACACGGAAAGCACAGTAAGAGCTCACTTGGTGGTAACTAACATTCTTGCGATTGTCAGAACGGTTTCATAAGGTAACTGTGCATGGAATTAAATATTCAGGTAAAAGTTATCTCATTTTCCACGTATCTGGAATGCCCAGCCAGCACCTGGAGTGGAAGCTTCATGAAACGTTGCTAAATAAATGAGTAATTGTTAGACAGCCTCAGAGATAATTACTAACTGATCTAAGTCCGCCTGCAGGATTTCCAGTATCAAATGGGTGGCTTGTCACAACTGGCACGAGAGTTACAAAAATCTCAGCTGGGCTGAGGGAAGCTGAGGACCTCTGAGGAATCACCCCAAGGGTTTTGCAGGGGACAAGGGACAAAGATAATGTAATTGCTCAAGTTCCACAAAGGCCAGTAATTGTTAAGATGCACAGAATCTTCCAGCAGGAAGGTCTTGGCCGCAGGTGTGTACTGACTACCATCCGTGTGTCAAGGTCTGTGGCGGGGGGTGGGACACAAAGAAAGAAAGACGAACAGGATCTGGTAAATGCCCCTGGAGAGCATCTGGTCTAGTGGGATGATGGGGTTCTGCAGGAAGAGAGGCAGAATGGAAGGGGCCTATGGAGTAAGGTCAAACCCAAGTTTGAATTTCCAACTGAGCCACCCAGGCGCCCCCAAGTTTGAATTTCCAGCTCTGCCCGCTACTAGCCAAGTCATTGTGCTTCTCTGTACTTTAGTTTCTTCATCTGCAAAACGAAGGTCAGATTACCACATGGGTTATAGAGGGATTAAGTGAAATAAATTTTATGAAGTGTCTGGCAGGAAAAAGTGCTTATTAAGTGGTACTTCTTGCTCAACAGAGAGAAATCTAATCTCAACTGTGAATCATGAAAACCTGCCAATGTAATAAATGCTCATCCTTCATTTTTACCATCCTGTTAGTAATTAACTGCTTATCATGAGCTCAAAGACATCACTTGGCACAGGATACTGAAATTTACCCGAGCTTCTCTCCACGTGGGGATTGCTGGGTTTAACTGCATGCCCCTTTGTGGAGACTCTTGGTACACTAAGCTGTTTCCAGTCCCACCTGATACATTTTCCATTCTAATCTTTGCATCTTTAAGAATAAAAAGTAATTTCTTGCTAGTGTTAAAAGGGCAAAATAGTAATTACTTATTTTATGGTGCATTCCCTGACTACCACCAAGACTGAACCTTTTCTGACAGTATATGAATTCTGCCAATACACGACTTCTAGTTGAAAATGGGTGATACAAAACATAAAAATTCTAGCTAGACTGTCAGTAGCAACTCTGAGTATGCAAGATATGTATGCGTATATACTGACAATAACCTGAAGAGAAAACAGAATATAAGTGTTAGTAACTTATTTTCCGCTTTCTATTGAATTGCCTTTATTCCTAAAGAAAGGGGAGTCATAACGGAGGCAATTTTATTATCTCACTGTTTTACTTATATACATTTTCATTTTTTAACATCATGATGGATTTTCTGAGTAATTTAAATAGTAACAAACAAAAAACACGGACATACGGTACACATATTATTTCCTAATTATTATTTCACGCAAAGAACATCCTCTGTCATCTTTATAATCAGAAAACTAGGTTTTTCAGAACCACTGATCGTTTTTCCAAAGAGACGAGATTATGAGATAAAAGAATTCCTGATTTGGTCTAAGAGAACAAACATGAGACGTTCTGGAGGGGCAACAGAATGAGACGGACACCACAGGACAAGAGGAGACCAACTCCTTCTGTAAACGAAGGTCCCACACTTTCTGACCCAAATCCACACGGTACGCATACCTGGGGGAAACTTCAGTGCTGGTTACATCACGTTTTTGCTTTCTAGTCCACGGGGCCAAAAGGCCTAACAGGTGCACCATGGTAAACGAGCAGACACACTCACCGTGGCATGTGAGATGGTCAGAATCCCGTTCTTGACGGCACACTTCCTCCTCTGCCACACCTTCCGGAGCCTGAAGAGCAAATCAAACAGAACCTGATACAGTAGCTGGTTCGCTCTGTGACATGCAATCCTATCGTGTTTTGTACGACAATCATTATAAAACAGTAACAACAAAACGACCCCAAACCAAAAAAACCCACCAAACCCAGAACATTTTATTTTATTACCCCAGGTGGAAGGTAGTTCAGACTAGTAGGCGTATACAAGGATGCTCATTATAGCACTGTTCTTGACAGTGAAGTGGGAAACAACAGAAATCTAAAAGCAGGAGAATGAATACATGCATCATAGTTACATTCATACTACAGAGTATTCTGAAGGAGGTTAAAAGAATCAAGTAACTATGTATGTGCTGACATACCCTTCTAAAGCATACTGCTGATTGAAAAAAGCAAGCTGTTTTAAAATAATTCAGGTAAGATCTAGTAATGTTAAAAAATACTCAAGGTATATCACGTATAAAATGGCGCTCTAAGTTTTCTATGGGGATATAAATATATGTACAAACACACAGAAGAAGGTCTGGAAAGAAGCATGGTACACTCACAAAAGTACTCTGCTCTGGGAAGGAGGCCCAGACCTGTGGCAGGGTGGTGCTAAAGAGTTTTTAACCATACCTGTGAATCTTCTACAAGAAGGCTGTATTAACCTATTGCTTCTGTAATTAAAATTAAACCTAAAGAAATTAAGAGAGTAACTCAAGATGTCTGCCAGGCAAGGAGGGGTGAGGGTATGGCTGCCTCAGGATACACAGAAGGGAGCTCAGGGTCACGGATCAACACGTCTGGTGACTTGTACACCTCTCCTTTGGGAAGGCTGACACTTCTCGGAAAAAGCCAAAGAGAACTCATTTCAACTTGGAGTTTTTTGGTGATGCTCGAGGCACAGGTGAGCCTGTGTGTGGTGGATTCGCACTTGTGTGGGCAGGTACAAATGTACTAGTCAAGAGCATTTCGATGGAGAAACAGACACGTACAGGGAACAGTGATTCTCTGGCTAGGAGAAGGCTTCTCGGGGCCCTCAGGTGTCATGGAAACAGACAACATCAGAGGAGGGGGCTCTGGCTTCTCCTGGGCATTTAAAATAATATCATCGTGTGTTTCCTTTCCCCTCTCAATGAGTCCTGTAAGAAACCTGCCACAATACGAATTTAAAACCAACTCTGAGCACAGATAATGTTGTCTCCTTGTGTATGTAACTACTAGCAGCACAGTTCACAGTGGGAAATCAGAATCTGATACCACCTGAGCAAAATTCAATTGAACACGCCGCGCTCAAAATGCTAGTATCTTCAGGACATAACGCAGAACTACCGACTGATAAACCGCCCTCAAATTACAACTACATCACTGACTGGGAAATGGCTGACAAGAGAGAACACCTGTCCCATGATCATACCTGCATCTGGCTAATGTAACCAATGCTGTAGGAGTTTTGCAGCCCATCTTAGCCTCATAAAAGCCTGCTGAGATAGGCGAGGCACCCCCTGTACCCATTAAAGCCCAAACCAGTGTCATCTTTCTCTATCAACATGTTTCAAAATAGCCACCAACCAACCTAACAAATTAGTCAATCTTCAGGATATCGTCCCGACTCAGTTTATTCATTTTATTTAGTAAAATTGTTAGTCATCAGTTGGGTTTTTTTTTTTTGGTCATTAGTTTTTTTCACGTGCGTATTAAGGAAACACAAAACCAAACACAAAACTGTATTCTTTTGTATTAGTAATAAAGACAAGGAAAGTAACACAAAAGCATTAAGCTTTTGGCGAACAGAAATTGCTCATGTGGTGCCCCCAGGTGACCAGACAAAAGGGAGCAAAATCAAGTCAATCCCAAGTACAGCCCTATCTCTGTGAACACTCTGAGAGCTTTTATTCCCGAGATTTCTATGAAACGGCCTGGACGCCTGTGCTTTCCCCTCTCTGTACTGAGAGCTTTAAGGATGCTTGCCTGAAAAGCTCCTGAATGGACATAGCAAGGACTTTTACCACCTGCTCAGACAGTGCCAGAGAGAACACCACTTACACCGTGCCCGGACCTCAGAATTCCAGAAAAGGAACTATGAGAAGGCGGCCTGATGTAACTAAACAAGTACCAGCTCTGATGCCTGATTCCTTGGGCTTCAATCCCGACACCAGCGCCCACTAGCCACGGGACTTTGTTCATGGTACCGACCTCTCGGACGCTTGCTTGCCTAATCTGCATCATGAAGAGAATGATGCCCATCCTCTAGGACTATTTTGAGAAAATACATGTAAAACAATTACTCCTTTGCCTCTCGATGAATGCCTTTGGGTCATAAAGCTTTTAAATTACTTACAAAAAATCTGAAGTGTTTTCCAAATTGTGGACATAAATTATTAATCCTGTAGTTTTAACACTTGTCCTTTAAGTGACAAAGAGTATTCCAGAACTAGGGTCAGAAACTACTAAAGCAACTGATCCTTAGGAGAAAATCATATGACACATCAGTAGTCATGATTAGCAAGTGAGGCTGTCTTCACGTATAAGCATTTCAATTCTTTCCTCTTCCACAGACAGCACTGACAGGCCCCTCTGGGTTATCATTATTCACCCTCTGCAGCCCGTGCAATTATGGGAGGCTAGCCCACTGGACTTCCAGCCTCCTTTGCAACAGTGCTTTCCTTATCTCTTCCCAACAGACTGTAGGCAAGGTGAGGGTGAGGCCCACCTCTCACGGACCTTTTACCTTCCAGCATCCAGCAGACTGCCTGAAACACTAATAATAAATAAATAAATGTGTGTGGAATGAGTGCACGAATGAAGAACAGACCAGAAGAACGGAGTCAAGTGTGTGAACGTATGCCAGCCGATGCCTTGTATCCTCCAAGGGCAACCAACAGCAGCAATGCCCCTTTGGAATATAAAGGGGAGACACCCCGGCATTAAGTCATAAGACCCAGGTTAGAATTTGGGCTTTCTTACTTACTGGCTGTAGGATCTTAGTTGAATCACTTAATCTCTCTGGATGAGTTGCCTCATCTACCGAAGGTATCAAATGAGAAGAATGAGAGGTACCTGGCAGCGTCTGGCAGGCACACAGCATGTGCTCACAAGGTGCTTTCCCTGAACATTTTAGGGTTTGAACCAAACAATACCTACCCAAAGACTCAGCTGACTTTTCTTGAACAGTTAGGTATTAACCACTTCACTTAGAAATAGTCAATTCTAATGTCAAGAAAATCCTTGTACCTTTACGCGAGTAGTGTTAAAACTACAGGATTAATAATTTATGTCCACTAGATACCACGCCATTGGGGCTACAATCTGGTCACTGTGTCTGTTAAGAAGAGCCCAGTTTAAAACTGTGATTTGGGTAACTGGTGTGTCTTTTCTTCTTTTACTTTTTGCAAGACTTAATGGTCAACATTCACTGACTTTAAGAGCCAGGTGCTGTGCTCTGTGCTGGGATGCTTTTCTTTGCTTACGCCCATATCTGCAAATCCTGGTGGCCCTACCGGCACTATCTTGACTCTGACCCGTTCTTCCACCTCTGCAGCTGTTCCCTTGATCCCTGTTCACCTCTGACCTGGCCTCCCACTTCTAGTCTTACATGCTACACAGCCATTCTCAGCCCAGCAGCCAGAGAGCCTTTCAAATGAGTCCAACTATGGCATTCCTCTGCTTAAAACCCTCCAATGACGCCCATCTCCACTCAGGGGCTTCCAAAGCCCTCCTGGCTTGGTGTTCTGCCCCCTCTCACCTTGTCTCCTATGACCCCCAGCTCCTCACTCAGTCCCAGCTATGCCTAACTCCTGTGTGTATCACAAAGGGAAGCAGGTTCCTGGCCATCTCTGCAGATCTCTGTAGATGATCTCCTCACTTCCTGCAAGTCTTTGCTCAAACATCTCCTCACTAAAGTCTTCCCTGACCGCCCTGCATGACTGCAAGGACCACTCCTACAGGCCCCGAGGCCCCTGCCTTGCTCTATCTTCCTCTATAGCACTTGTTACCATCTGATCTCCCACATAGTCCCTTCTTTACTGTCTGTCTCCCGACTCAGAATGTAAGCCCTATGAGGCTAAGGACTTCCTTATCTTTCTTGTTCAATGTTATGTACCCAAGTGTCTCTAACAGTGCTTGACCTACACTAGAACTCCCAAAAGACATCTGTTGGATGCATGACTAGAATAAGAAAAACTGATAGTGATCAGAAATTTAGGACTGTAATTTATAGAAGCTGCAATTTTATTTTTTATTTTATTTTTTTTAAGATTTTTTTAATTTATTTGACAGAGAGAGAGACAGCGAGAAAGGGAACACAAGCAGGGGGAGTGGGAGAGGGAGAAGCAGGCTTCCCGCGGAGCAGGGAGCCCGATGCAGGGCTCGATCCCAGGACCCTGGGATCATGACCTGAGCCGAAGGCAGACGCTTAACAACTGAACCACCCAGGCACCCCTAGAAGTTGCAATTTTAACAAAGAAATCAAAAAATGTCTATGTCTTAGATAAAGTAAAGGAGTGCATATCCACAAGCCATCAGAAAACAAGAAGCTTTCTTTCAAAAAGAAGGACAGTTAGTAAAGCAAGTAATTAAGATTCTCCTTATGTGGGGCGCCTGGGTGGCTCAGTCGTTCAGCGTCTGCCTTCGGCTCAGGTCACGATCCCAGAGTCCTGGGATCGAGCCCCGCATCGGACTCCCTGCTCAGCAGGAAGCCTGCTTCTTCCTCTCCCACTCCCCCTGCTTGTATTCCCTCTCTTGCTGTCAAATAAATAAATAAAATCTTTAAAAAAAAAAAAAAAGATTCTCCTTATGTATGTAAAGCAGAATCCCTGATGGAGCAATGGAAAGAAGCCGGTGTGGCGGGGCCAGGGGAGGACGAGCCTGGAGAAGAGGCAGGGCTGAGACCCTGTGTGCACTTCAAGCATGGGAATGACCTGGCGTGCTTTACGTTTCTTCAAGGCTACTCTGGGCGCTGTGTGGAGATGCAACAGAGGAGAGGGACAGAGAGAGGCTACTCAGATATTCCGAGGAGCAGTGGCTCCTCCCAGGGCAGGGCAGCAGAAAGGTCAAGAAAGGCATCATGTCCTGTTAGAAATGAAGAGCTTGTCGTGACAGTGGCTGTGATATAAGAGGAAGGAGAGGACTCGGGGTTGACTCCCAAAGCTGGGTTTGGGCGGCCAGGTGGGCACCCCAGCAGAGAAAAGGGCGGATGAATCAAAGCAGAGAGGTGGGTGAGCCTCAAGTCCGCAAGCCACCTGCTTGCTTCACGTTCCGCTCAGCACCTGCCTTCCTAAAATGGTAGGCTGCAAGTCCTCGGTGCCATTTAGGGACCACGGGACGGTGACTGCTTCTTGGAAAGACAGCAGGTTAAAGCAGCTGAGGGAAACCAGTGCGCTCACGGTCGGAAGCTAGCACATTAGAAAATCCTGAAGTGTGGGAAAAGTTCCGAGGCTGCTAACACCCAGGAACTGCTAAGCACACAGGGACAGCGGGCTGGCCTTACGCATACCCATCACTCTTCTTCAGCAGGTAGCCCTTCTTCTCACTGCCGTACTCCTTATTGCCCTGCAGCTGGTGCATGCTGTACCCTCCTTGCCGGCTCTGGGAATCCTAGAAAGGAGAAGCCACAGATCAGACTGATGCTGGACATACTTCTCGAGTCTTTGCCTCTATTCTGCCATTGAGCCTCTGTCCACGGGTCTGGGGCGAAGAGAATTATGGAACTTTAAGAGCCCTCAGGTCCTTGCCTGTATCAGAGGAAACTGGGCAGGGAAACAACCACCGGAGTCACAGGTAGGTCCAAAAACTCCTGTTTCTAGTTTGGAACCCCAGCTCCACTTCCAACAACACACTGGTGACAGAGCATCGTGGGACTGAACCAGGTTGCACGGGCAGTACAGGAAGGCAGGAAAATCCAAGTGGCTCACAAACAAAGTGCATGCAACCCGAATGAGCTCTTCCCTTAGGTCCACCTTTTCTCCCTCCACATATTTTGCTAAAATACTCACAATACAAAGTGTACCTTCTGAGCGAGGTACTGGGAACTGTTAGAAATTCTTGGTTTGTAACCAACAGGGGCTCCGTAAAATAAGCTGTTAAACATGCTTTTAATTAAAAGCGATGATTCTCTGGTGGTGAGAAGTGTGCTATAATATGGTAAAAGGGTGACCCGGACCCACAGAACAAGACAGATGCAAACCAGCTGGAGGCACTCTGCTGATACTTCCCCATCGTTTCTAGAGACTGCATGATCAGATTCAGCCATTACACTTTGAAAATGTACGAAACAGACCAACAACACTGAACTGTAGAATGAGAACATGGGGTTTAGACACAGAAGTAGGACAATACATTCTCACAGAAAGTGTTGACTTACTCTCCTAGACTTCGATCAGGAAGGGCAAAAGCAACAGAGAAAAAAGGCAGAACATTTGAAAACATAGTTAATTTCATTGATAGTCATCACGCATGATTTAAAAGCACTTTTTATAACACAGAGAAAACACCACTGTAAAGATAATTAAAGCCAGAACACATGCCACCTTCGGAATCACATAAACTTCAGGGGATGGGACAATAAAACATCTTCATATTTGTCAAGTTTTATTCAGGTTATTTAAATGAAACCAGAAGAAAACCTGCATGAGGTACACATTTCATCAAGATAAAAATGGGTGACAAACTTCAAAGTGTGTGTTTAGGGAATCAACACCTCAGTGAAACCCAAATTATTTTAGAAAATCTAAAAAGAACCAAAAATTGTAGGAGGATTATTTTTTAGTTTTCCAAGCAGAGAGAACATAACAAAAATATCCAGTTCAAAAGCAACGCCTGCAATGTGATGAAAAAGAACCAGAAGTGAACTTAGCCCCTAATTATGTACTGATGGCCTTTGTATGAGATCCCTTTAAGGTCAGGATGGCCTCTCTGTGGCATTCGGGATCCTTCTGGACCAGACAATAGCAAATGAATATTAATAACAGCCGAAGAAGAGCTCTAGGATGGCACACCTTTGTGAGGTTATTCCACGAATGTGATGAGTTCTGCGTTCAAAACGATGTCCTGAACACCCAAATGGTAGGTACCGGGAAGACAGCGAGGACACAGCGGGGCATGGCCCCTGTCCCTGAGGTGGGTGCTCATACACTGACCACGCATCCTTCTGCTCCCTGGTGAAGGTAACAGAGTGCTGAATGCTTGCTCTACCAGGCAACGAGGCTCACCCTGAGGAGCTTAGACTAGTCATTTCCTTAATCTGAGTCATTTGTCTGTAACTGGCCAGACTCCCTCCAGCTGGAACAGCTAATGGCACCATTTCAATCACGTGGGGAGGGGCAGGAGTGCGCTGAGGTTTAGGCATCTCTTTAGAAATACTTCTACAGATTTACTTTTAATCAGGGCCCATAGCCTTGCTCATAGTAACTTGAATCCCAAGTCCTCCCTCATGGATGCTTTCAGGCTTTCTGGACAGAGCTATGACCGCAGGACCGTACTACAGATCAGATGGGCAAGGAGGGCAGCCCTCCACCACCCACGCTGCCATGAGAGCCCCCAACAACAGCAGTGACACACAGGGTTTTCTTGAAGGAGGCGGCAATGTGTCCATAATACTAATACAGAACAATCAGGATGGAAAATTAGGTCGGGTGGTGGAGAGCTGAGGCATGGGATGGAACAAGGGGCCGGGATAAATGAAATCCACGGAGCTTTCTGCGTCCACCCGATGACATCACACGAAAACCACTCAACTCTGGATATGGAGTCAGGGATCGCTGCCATTTCTATACCTCCCCAGAACATTAAAAACAAAATCTGCAATCTCCCTGGATAAAAATTCTTATTAAAAGCATAACTCTGTTCCTTGGAATGACTTCCATTGAACGAAACTGCTCTTTGTCTGCCCATGTAATTTCTAGGTTGGTCTGAATGCTTTAGAACTATGCATTAGCCTGTTTGCTAATCCTTCAAATAAAACCCAAGTTTTAAAAATAAGAGTACTTTTATCTTTTGTAATGCAAGGATTTTGATGTTAATAACTTATGAAAAATATTACATTCTGCAACTATGCCTCTGAGACACTCTTTTCATATATTTATTACTAGCCCACATAAACTTTAAATTCTGAATAACAACCTGAGTGGACCTTGTTTTCCATCAGGCAAATATGCTTTTTAAGGTGAATGAAGTGGCTGATCTCCAGGCTCTGACCTCAGAAGCCTACTCCATTAAGCTGAGCAGGAAGGAAGCAGCACGTTTCAGAAATATAGTATTGACAACCCTACATTAACTACCGATGAGTTCTATGGCGTTAAAGTAGTCCTACAAATAATTATTTCTGCACTTTGAGAAATGATGGCCATTCAGCTTGCTTTGCAGGGAACTCTAGACAAACGAAAAGAGGGTTTTCTTTTTTGAGAAAATAAATCATGGAGAATTAACACTCATGATAATTAACAAAACACGATGGAAGGAATGAAACAGGTTCTGAATCCTTTGATAGCATAATAAAAATTAAACATGTATTCAGGAAAGAGAAATGCAAGTTGAGAAATTCATTCAGGCAAAAAATGTAAAAGTAAACTTACACAATGAACTTAAAATAAAACCTTGGAGAAATTCCATAATGTGAGCCAAGAATGTAAACTACAGAATGAAACTATGGTGTCATTTTTTTAGTTCAGTTCCTTATTCTCTATTAGCAGTATGGACAAATTACCTTCTTTCTTCTTAGAAAACTCTATTAACATATAAAATGCATTATTAAGGAGTAAAATCTTAAATCTTTTTAAATTGCATGCAAATACTCACTGATTTACAGGATTATAAGTACTTGTGGTATCCAACCTAAAACTAACCTCTACGACAGAAGCTTCAAATCTCTCATGTAAGGGATACATGGTGTGGGCAAAGGATTTCTTCTTTTTTATCTAACTAAATATTTATTGAGTAGCTTTTGGGTGCCAGACAGTGTGTCAGATACTGCAGAGAGAGAGATGAGCAAACACAGAATCTGTCAAACACCTTGCAAACCACACTATGATGGGAAATTGAGAGAGACTCAAACAAAACGCTGGAATTTGGGGACAGATTTATGGGCATCATTATTCAAAATATTTTCAACCCTAAATATAGTTATGTAGCAAACAGTTCTCTTGGGACGTTAGACTATTATAAAAGCTTAAGATAATTAATTTCGTAGAACATCTGCCAGAAGTCAAGGAAGAATTTTGACAAGAAAAAACAAGTCCATCAAAAATCTGGGGATCCTACTGACAGCTCAAATTCTTGGAGCTTCCTTTAAAAGAGTCAAGTTAGAACCTGGTGGGGGTGAAGAGGTTAATTATTAGCTGGGTGCTTTTAATTTCTCAGGTCATTTATCAGGTTAGTTTACACTCTTCTCGAATAGTAGTGCTATGGTAAGAACTCTATGGTGGACAGTCTCCTTTCTTATTTAAGTCATTAGAAATCATTACCTACTAACCTTATTTTGCAATGAGAGATGATAAACAGCATGGGAATGGAATAAGCGTGCTGTGAAAGATCAGTTTTACTTGTAAAATACTCTGGACATGGTGCTAATGAACATGCATCGTTTATTAATTTGGGGTGGCTTTAAATCAAATCATGCGCATTTTATCGCGTATGTACTCTTTTGGCTTATATGCAACTTTGTTCTTTAGCTCCTGGGAGCAGATTACATCAGTCTTTATGCAAAACAGAAAGGGACTGCAACAGTCTCCCCCCACTCCCCCCCAAGAAAGCTTCCATATACAGGAAGGAGGTGTTACTGTACGACAAAGCAAAGGTAGGAAGTGGTTAAGTACATTTCGGTAAGTACAAAACCTCGCAATTTTCTGCCTAAACAGCAATCTACTTCTTACCCTCCATTTGAGTCTTTCTATTGCTCTTACACAGAGAAATCATTCAAGGGGACCACCTCCCCTTGTATGCCAGTAATAAGCACCTTCAAAAGAGGCCTCCAAACACACAGGTGCCTATTTCCCGTCCACAGGTGCCCAGGATAAAAGGGCTGTAGACTTCTCCCACTCGATGAAAACCCAGAGGGCTATCTTCACTCAGTGAAGAGAACCTTCTGGGTTGCTTTAAAGGGTGAGGGTTGCTGGTGCAGGGCTTCCACGTTTGAGGAGGGTTGCCTTGTTTTTGTTTTGGACTCATGAACCCCTTCAGAAATTGTAGGAATGTACAGTTTGCCATTGTGAGGTAATATCATGAGGAAATGACAATATAAAAAAAGGCTCTATTTTATGTGGTTATTATTAAATACTGCATTGAGATACTGCACTTAAATTCAATGCATGTTAACTTCCTAATATAAACAGGCAAATTTTAACCCTCCCCTACTAACAAACAGAGCTCACTGTTTAGTTTACCCTTGGCATGAAGTCCATACCCTGTTGTGTGTGTTCAAGGTCATGTATCACTAGGCCTGAGTTTCCACCTCAGAAACCCCATCTCTCAATCTTCTGCCCTTTTTGCCCCCAAAGTGCGGGGGGCAACTGCTGACTATTTCAGACAGCTTCCATCTCAGAGTCCTCTCAGCGTCCCCCCTCTGCGGGCACGCCCCTTCCCAGATCTCTTATGGCACCAATACCGCTTAGGGTATGACTGCTGGTTTGTATGGCTGGCCTGCTCTCTACTAGATGATGATTCTAGAGGATCAACCCCCCTCTGGCTGCCCAGAAAGACAGAGATGACCTAAAGAGGACATGGGTGTGCACCCTACCCTGAGAGGACGCAGCACTTTGGAAGTACAGGTCTTCAAAGCCGGAATGGCAAACCTAGGGTCCTGGAATTGTAGCTCTGGTGTTAAGAACATCTTTTGTACAAGGATGGCAAGGGAAATAAAGGACAGTCGCTACATGGGGCGATGCAATAGGTATCTTCTATCTCGTTTGTCCCCACAACCACGGTGGCAGGAAGCTGGTGACACGCCTATTCTGCAGACCAGGAAACACAAAGGCCCTCCCAGGCTGCCTCACTTCTGCTGGAAACATACAGATCACCTACTTCTTTCTGATCAAGTTGAAGAGAGGATTTTATTAAGTCTCGGAGCGCGGTTAGCTGTTTCTTTTCTTCATCCTGGGTCTGTTTTATCTGTGACGGAAAAACAGGACTTTCATCACGTATCTTTTATACATGAGCAGAGTTTAATTCACCCAAATATACCAGTCATCAAACAATTCAATTATATAGTTGATTTCTTTATTAAAGTCTTTTACATGGTCTCATTTTCTTACATGAAAGGCAGAATTTTCTCATCTTATGAAAGTACCAGTGAGTTTTGAAATCAGTGTCTTAATGCAACAGGCCTTCTTATTAAATAATACATCTAGGCAAGACAATTAGCTCTGAAGTACCATTTTAAACACAGTTTAGAAATAACACTGGGTCACTTGCTTCTGGTTTTTCAAAGGGCGGTAACAGGAATCCCATAATGTGGTTAAATGGGCCAGAAGAAAGTGTGAAAAAGGACCAGAACCCAATGGGCTAAGGTATATATGAATGTTTACACGGTGGCACCCGGGGGTTTGGCCCTGGTGCTGCTTTTTTTAATCAGCTGAAACTTATTACAACCTGAATCATGTTAACTATTAAAAGACAACGGCAGTGGTGGGGGGCGGTCACCTGGGTGGCTCAGTCAGATGAGTGTCTGCCTTCAGCTCAGGTCATGATCCCAGGGTCCTGGGATCGAGCCCCGCATCGGGCTCCCTGTTCGGCAGGGAGCCTGCTTCTCCCTCTGCCTCTGCCCCCCACCCGTCCCCACTAGCGCACTCTTTCCCTCTCTCAAATAAATAAAATCTTAAAAAAAAAAAAGACAATCGGAAAAAATATACAGCTATGTGTTTTTAAAGATATATACGCAAAATCCAGATATCTGACAAAACCAAAAAAAAAAAAAAATCATAAACCTGCCTACCCCGAGACAATCAAGTTTTGTCCTTCAGGGTCAAACATTCTTTCTACAAGTGCCAGACTGCAAGGCACTCACAGGTGATGCTACTGGACCCCAATGGACAGCCATCTAGAATTGATGGTTACATACCCTCATTCCTCCTATGTCCCAAAAATGTACTCTAGGATATCTGACCATCAAGGCCTTCTGAGTTAAACTGAAAGCTTACCTGCACAGGTTTATACTGACAGATCACGTACCCCTGCTTTTCTTTAAAGCTCTTCTAATCCAGATTTCAAATTTACTGATGTTTATCTATAAAAGCAACTTAAAATGCATGCGTTTTATAAAATACTTACATTATATAAATCAGCAGCCAGTTTTTCGATGTACTGTTTCAATTTATCAGCCGTTTTCAAGCCATCTTGAAAAAAACTATGATGGAGAACATCAGAGATTTACCAGAAGCATAAAAAAGAAATGAACCCTAGTCACCTATAAAATCTGAAAATACTAATATATTTACTCTCTACCCACATAGCTACACAAAACACTTATAAACGAATTTCAGTATTTTATAAAGATGCACCAACAAACAGATTACGGGCACCATCTGACACGTGCTAGCAGCTCTCACGTAGACAGTGCAAATTACAGCTGTGGTCCCAACACAGCGATTTCATGTGCGTACCCATCTATTCATAGAAACAGTCCTCCTGGTTGTGCCGTATTTGAATTCGAAAGAGAGAGACACACAGCATAACTGGTGTAGTATCATGAGGATGAATTAGACGCTTTAAGGAGAGAGGAGACTTTTCTAGAAACAAAGGCTGCAGGAAAGTTAGCCACCTTTCAGTTCCCCAAAGACCCCTGGGGAACATGCTTGAAACACAGGAAGTCAGATCGATGGTATCCTGCTGTGTGCACAGCCAGATCGCGCCATTTCACCCTAAGAATCAGTACTGACAAGAGCCGAGCATGCACAACAAGCTAAGCATGCTTGCATTTTGTGAGTTATTTCATTCACCCCCAACAACAACCCGAATGAGTTCCCAAGCACTTCAATCTCATCTCCTTTTCAGAGGATAAACTGAGGCACAGGGTGAGTACATCACTTGCTCACATGACTAGTAAGTGGCAAAACTGGGATTCAGGGCCAGGCTTTGATTCGGACACCCCTGCTTGTGATGACCAAGCAAAGAGATTTCCTGTCTGACCCCTCCACCCAGGAGTTTCACTTGTTTCAGTGTTTGTAATGTTCTCTATCCTCTTGGAGGCTTCTCTAGCCCTGCCCCACATCTACTGCTCTTTCCCCACAGAAGAATGAGATCCTTGAGGATAAGGACTGTCTCATCTCAGGATTGCAGTGGGTCCAGCACCAGGCAGATGTCAGTGAATGATAAGGATGCAGCACTATCAAGAAGTTTTAGGGCACATCTTAGGATTCATATCTACATATATAATTAAGCTTAACGTGGACAATCAATGTGGACAATACATTCTTATCAGAACTGGCCCTCCAAGAGTGAATACTGAAATCCCCCACATGTTCGAGAATTTTTTTTTTTTAAAGATTTATTTATTTATTTATTTTGAGAGAGAGAATGAGAGACAGAGAGCATGAGAGGGAGGAGGGTCAGAGGGAGAAGCAG